GAATAAATAAAATAAATAATTAAAACAAAGCTTGGAGTATAACTAAGAAAAATGTGATCAATTTTAAGTATGTAGTTTGATAAATTCTGAGAAACACATATAGTTCCATTAACTACCAGCAAAATCAAGACAACGTTTTCATCAACTGAAGATACTCCCACTGGCTCCTCTGCAGGCGATCCCCTGGCCCCACCCCAATGGCAACCACTGAGCTGGTCGTTTTGTCACTTTAATTTTGTCTTTTCTAGAATTCATATAAATGAACCACAGAGTATATGGTCTTTTGTGTCTTTAATGCTTTCGAGATTCACTGATATTATTTGTGTGCCAGGAATTTGTTCCTTTTTACTTTATTTTTCTTGACACAGGGTCTCATTCTATTACCCAGGCTGGAGTGCAGTGGTGCCATCTTGGCTCACTGCAGGCTCTGCCTCCCAGATTTGAACGATCCTCCTGCCTTAGCCATCTGAGTAGCTGTGATTACAGGCTTGCACCACCACACCCGGCTAATTTTTTGTATTTTTAGTAGAGATGGGGTTTCATCATGTTGCCCAGGCTGGTCTCGAACTCTTGAGCTCAAGTGGTCCACCCGTTCTGGCCTCCGAAAGTGCTGGGATTACAGGCGTGAGTCACCAAGCCTGGCGCTTTTATTGTTAAACAGTACAGTATTTCGTTGTACAGACACAATACAGTTTGTATATCCACTCAACAGTTGTTGGACATTTGGGTTGTTTCTAGTTTTGGGCTATTGTGCTAGGCTAAGTTGCTGTACACACTTGTGTACAAGTCTTTGCATGGCCATCAGATTTTATTTTTTTAGGAGAATATCTGGGTAGTAGAACTGCTGGGACATTTGGCATGTGCATGTTTAACTTAATAAGAAACTGCCTGGCTGGACACAGTGGCTCACGCTTATAATCCCAGCACTTTGGGAGGCCAAGGTGGGTGGATGACATGAGGTCAGAAGTTCAAGACTAGCCTGGCCAACATAGTGAAACTCTGTCTCTACTAAAAATACAAAAAATATTAGCTGGGGGTGGTGGTGTATGCCTGTAATCCCAGCTACTTGGGAGGCTGAGGCAGAAGAATTGCTTGAACCTGGGAGGCAGAGGTTACAGTGAGTAGAGATCGCACCATTGCACTCCAGCCTGGTCGAAAGATTGAAACTCCACCTCAAACAAAACAAAACAAACAAACAAAAAATAAATTTCCTGTTTTTCAAAGTAGATACCATTTGAGAGGTCTTGTTCCTCATAAATATAATGTTGCCCCATTTTAAAATGAGGGAAAGAACTATGCCAGGCATAGCGGTTCATGCCTGTAATCCCACTACTATGGGAGGCTGGGGCGGGAGGACTGCTTGAGGAGTTCGAGACCAGCCTGGGTAACAGTTGAGACCTAGTCTCTACAGAGGAAGAAAAAAAAGAAGTAGGTATATTCACAAGACAGACACAGCAGTTAATATAAATCAGCTGATCTCTTTATATCAACATGGACAGATTTTAACAAACAATAGCTTCTGAAATAAGCAAACTGAAAAATTATACATGTAGTACTGACACAGGAGTTACCTTTGGTGAGCTAAGGAAGCAGTGAAGGGCTGAGGAAGGGAACAAGGACTTCAACTTTACTGTACTGTTTTATTTTTAAAAGTACTCAAATAGGCCGGGCGCGGTGGCTCAAGCCTGTATTCCCAGCACTTTGGGAGGCCGAGGCGGGTGGATCATGAGGTCAAGAGATCGAGACCATCCTGGTCAACATGGTGAAACCCCGTCTCTACTAAAAATACAAAAAATTAG